GACGCATTACCGCTGCTGTCAAAAGTATCGACCGCGATACATTGCAGAGTGTGTGGATTGAACTGGACTATCGTTTGGACATCTGTCGTGTGACTCGAGAAGCCCACATTGAACATTTGTAACGCACTAAAAATGTAATGTTTTCTCTGTCTACCGACATACCCTTTATTATTGTATGCATCATACTTTCCAAAATATAGCTTTGTCAAACCCGATGATTCTTTTATAGTAACCCTGTATTATAAATATCTGCTTGAACTTTGTACATATCAACATAATTTTTTTGTAGATATTTGCTTAAGATTGTAATTGATTTATTAAAATGATCAACAAGCCTTTTGTACAACGAAATTTGAAGATTTGTTTCACTGATAATATTTTTTTGATTTACTAGCAATGTTTTGATAATTTTATTATATCTTTCTTCGTCATCAGAATCAAGATTTCCAAATACCCATTTGTTAATTTTTCCAATTACATTTATTAGAGCTCTTTTATGTCTTACATGAGGAATTAAATTATTAATCTTTTTCTGAAGAGTAATTATTATGATAAGATATAGGATTAGTTGCATTAACATGAACTATATTATGTTCTATCAATTCAAAATGATTAACTAAATTATTAACTTGTTTAACTATTTTTTTAAATCTAAATAATGTAAAAATATATGTTTAAAATATATAAGTTTAGCGTTTCCTAACTGAATAGGAAGCATAAAATTTTCAATCGGAGTGATCTGTATATCAGAAGATGTACTATGTATTTGGTATACATAAATGACTTGTAGAACTTGTACTTGGAACAGCGTCGTTATCAAAATGGATTTCATTTTCGTTGGTAACAATTTTTATAAATTATTTTGAGATTTTCTAACAATACTCTTATGATAAGTACCCTTATCCGTTTTTATTAAAATACCTTTATCTTTAATGAAATTTGCCTTTTTGAATTTTAGTAAATTTTTATTGCTTGATTTTGTTTTGACAAAACATGAATTTTGTTTGGAATAGTTATCTGGTTCAGATCTCTTTTCATTTAATTTGTTTATTAAATTTTCTTTTACTTCTTCATTACGTTGTTTATTTTGTTATACATCTGTTTACTAATTTGTTTATGATCTTGTACATAATTAAAAATTATTAAGTGATCGTCTAAATCAAAGGGATTTGGATTAACAATGTGTTTTAATTATTTCAAATGCCGTGAACTTAATCACTGAATATTATTATAACAAAATACAGATTTTTTAATCAGTCGATCTGCTGTGAAATGTTTGTTTTCTTCTTGTAAACATCTATAATGCTCTAATAGATATGAATGAAACGGTTCCACTGTGGAATTTGAATGATTTTTTTTGCAGTAGTGATCTATAGTTGGATATGGTGTAGTTTACAAAAATCTTCTAAATCGAAATTTTTTAATTCTGTTCCACTGTCGGTAGTAATTTTTTGTAGTAGTCCGTGATGTAAAATAAATTATAAGAGTTTTGCTATGAATGATATTCCTGTTATACAATCTAGTGAATAGGCCGACCATATCGCGAAAAAGAATCAATTATAGTCAAATATGATTTATTAGAAATGTAAAATATATCTAAATGTATGTGTTCAAAGGGTTTTGTTGCAGTGGGTGTCAAATTAAATTTTAGTACTGGTAGATTTTGATCATATTTATTCTTTAAGCGTGTTTGACCGGTATTAATTAAATTTTCAATATCATTAGCCATTCTAGCCAATAATATCTGGAAATAGTGCTTAGCTATTTCATTTCATTTGTACTACAAAGTACAATAAATTTGGTTTTTGAAAAATTGAAAGATCAGTATATTTTGATATTTATTAAAGAATTTTATAAATTCTTCATTGTGTTCTATTTTTAATATTTTTATTCAAAGAGGTAGTTATTTTGCAACCAATTTTAATTAATAATTGTTTTTAATAATATTCTATATACCCAAAGAATGATTTGAGATTTGATGTATATTTTTCGTATTTTAATAAAATTAAATTTAAGAGAAGGTATATGAGTATGTGTTTAAATTAAACTAGGTTTATCTCTGTCATGGTAGTACCTAATACTTTTTGTATGTATTTTGTTCCTTTTCTCTTAAAATTTGAAAAACATTTAAATTTTATTCTCTTCCTGTTACATTTACATGTATCCGGTGTTTTCATTTTAGTCTTAATTTTATTATTAGATATTTAAAAAAAAAAATGATAAGAAGATCTATACAAATTCCAATAAAATACATATATTTTGTGCTTTTAAATTTACTTACTCTAACTAGAGCAATTATAAATACTCCATTTAAACTTATCTACAAATTATATTGCATAATATATAATGTATTGCATACTTAAATCTACAACAGAATTTTATAGTATTTCATCTCTTTACTAAAACTTTTTCACGGTAAAATGTGCAGTTATTTTAATTAAATGAATAATTTATAACATATATATTAACTTCGTAATAATTATTTTAAAATTTTACACCAATGATCATCTTTCGAAAACGTAAAGATATATTACGTTCTAGCTGTTACCACGCGGCATGTCGAGAACACCTTTATCAGCTTGGAAGACGACCTTCGTTGTGTTTTATTGGTGGAAGACTATTATTATTATTTTTCTTACTATAAAAATAAGCATCACACTTGGTTTCACATTTGCGACTATAATTTTTTTTTATTATTTTTTTACGCCTATTTATGTGGATGGAAGACGTACTTTGTTGTACAATTCAGGTGAAAGACGACATTTTCTAATATTTTTATGTTCATATCAACGTGTACACCAAGTTTCATCCATGCGAAAACGATTTTTTTTTTATAATTTTTTTACTAGAATTGCAACCCTCCCGCAACCCCCTGTCGTACAACTGGAATGATTTTACTGTTACCTGCTATTTAAATAAAGCTTGCGAAAATGGTTTATTAAAATCTGTCATTACCTCCCGGACTATAAGTGAGTGCGTCAAGTAGTTTGTGTCCTGGGTATTTTAAAAGCTTATAAAGTGCGCCACTTTTAAAAGATGGAAAAAAACGAGATAAGAGCGGTGATAAAATATTTTTATATCAAAGGATTATCGCCGATGGAAATAAAAGCTGAACTAGATGCTACACAGTTAAAACCTGGGTAGCGGACTTTAAACATGGTCGTACTAGAACTGATAATGTTCCTTGTTCTGGCAGGCCAAAAACGGCAACTTCTGAAGAAATGGTGCAAACCGTTGACAAACTAATTCTAAAAGAATTAAAATTGGAAGAGGTAGCTGAGGCTGTGGGCATATCAAAAGAGCGAGTTCACTATATTTTTTGTAAAGTTTTAGGTATGAAAAAGCTATCAGGCTGATGGGTGCCGCGTTTGCTCACGTCAGATCAGAAACTCACGCGGCTTACTATTTCAGAGGAGAATTTGGCACTGTTGAGGCGTAATCCAGGGGACTTTTTGCGTAGATTGATTACGATTGATGAAACATGGGTTTATCATTATACCCCTGAAACTAAACAATAGTCCAAACAGTGGACGGCAAAGGACGAACCAGTTCCAAAGAAGGCAAAGGCAGTACCGTCTGCTGGAAAGGTCATGGCAACGGTCTTTTGGGATGCTAAAGGGATACTCCTAATAGATTATCTCGAAAAGGAAAGAACAATAAATTCCGAGTACTACAGCGACTTACTGGACCAGCTTAAGCAGAATATAAGCGAAAAACGCCCTGGTTTGGCAAAAAAGAAAATTCTATTTCATCATGACAATGCACCTTGCCACAAGTCCGTTCTTGTAATGGCTAAAATTCATCAGCTAGGCTTTAAACTGTTAAATCATTCTCCGTATTCGCCAGACCTAGCCCCGTCATACTTTTATTTGTTTTCAAACCTAAAAACATATCTTGCTGGCAAAAAATTTTCCACGGATTTAGAAGTAATTGCAGCCATTTATTTTGACGAGTTGGATAAATCAGACTACAGTGACAGTATTAAATCGCTTGAACATCGTTGGGTCAAATGTATTACCCTACAAGGGTACTATGTAGAAAAATAAATTCTTATACAGTCACTATTGTGTTGCGTTCTATGTAAGGCCGGAAACTTTTCATCCCATCCTCGTACTTAAATTAAATCAAAATTAATTAGGTAAAATCAAAAAATTGCAAAATAGAGCTATGCGAATCATTCTATCTTGCATTCAGGAAATGCTCAAATCATTGAGATGACTTTCAGTAAAAGATTATTTTTTATTTCAAACTCTAATTTTAATTTTTGAAATAAAAAAGGTAATAGCGTCTACATACTTGGTAAATAAAACCAAATACTATTTTCAAGTCCACACTTATAATATAAGAGACCATAATGACTTTTATATTACACAAAGCTTCAGTGGAAAAAGCTGCATTCATTAATGGTTTACAAACATTTAATAAACTACCAGTACATGTGAAAAGCGCTTATTTACTTACTAATTTTAAGCATAAACTAAAGCATCACTTATTGACATAATATATTATATTTTAATATTACAAGATTTCTACCTTCTCTCGCAGTCTTCTTATTTTGAAATATTTATATATATTACAAAATTATATTTTATTTATACTACTATTTTTTAATCACTGCTGTTTTTATGTAGGTACTTTGTATTTTTATTATTAAATGTACCTATAAGCAAATTACTAAATAAAGGACTTATATACAGGTAGGTAATGTTTACAATGTTAATGGTACACTTTCCCAATATAAATTTTAACGATATTTTATATGAAAAACAATCCTCTGTAATGTTTTTTAAACTAATAAATAAAATACCACTCACAAACAAGGCAGCTCGTGAATATGTATTTTAAATTAAAATCGTGTATAGCATCTTGTGTCGCTTTTCTTTTTTTAGAATTACAGCAAGCTTTAATATTTCAATTCACAAATCAATTTGCGATATTCTCTGACGTGTTGATAGCAAAAAATAAAATGCATTAATATATTATTTTTTCAAAATTTTTAGCCACCACAACCTGTACAAAATTGGGATGGAATACTAAAAGCGACGGGTTCACCAATATGCTATCAAACAGGTTTGGATCACAAAAACTCAGGAGAAGATTGTTTATATCTTCATGTTTACACTCCTCAGGTACCCATTACCATAAAAAATTTTCATTTTATTAATAATATTTATGTATTTTACATAAATGTTTTTAAACAAGAAGAATATTTTAGGAACCTGGTAGCAATTCCTCCTTACCGGTCATGCTAAATATCCATGGAGGAACATTCAGAAGAGGTGCAGGTTATTCAGGTTACATAGCACCTCAATATTTAATGAAACAAGATATTGTTGTGGTTTCTATTAACTATAGACTAGGACCATTTGGTAAATAATATATTGGCTTTTCAACAACGTTATTAACAGTTTAGATTAATGCCTATACAATAAATTTGTAATATTTTTTTTAGGATTTTTATCCACTGGCGATACAGTTATTCCAGGTAATATGGGTCTTAAAGATCAACAATATGCAATAAAGTGGACCAAAAACAATATCCACCTATTTGGTGGTGATCCAGAAAAAATAACCATCATGGGTCAAAGTGCAGGATCTGCTTCGGTTACTTACCACCTTCTTAGCCCTTCTTCATCAGGTATAGTAAAGAAAAAGTCGTGATCGAGTAATCCATGAATATAATTTTTACATCTGCAACTACAACGAACAACTACTACTAGACGAATTTTGTTTAAAAAATCGAATCGCAATAATTCAAGGCGTTATCTACGCAGTTACCAAATTATGATAGTAGAGTCCTACTAAAAGGATTGTTAATGGTTATAATTCGGAATTAACTTTGCAAAAGGTTATAAAACGCGCAAAAGGCTTTCAAAATTATATTAAGGAAGTACTACAACTATTGTAGCTGGACAGTACACTATTTATTTTACACTGTTTCAACAGTGTAAAGCAGGAATCATAATTGTACAATTGATGCATTTATGAAACGCATGCTCGTACCTCAGATAAATAAAAGCATCCCTACTTAATTTAGCAGCCGTCTTGCTCTTTTTAATGCATCGGCCGATGCGACAAATCTGTCAACTTAACATTTAACATAATCTGAATCTTTGCAATAAATAAGGGCATAATTATGAATTAATGGATTAGTCTAGTAGGTTTTCTTCATTTGTCTGCAATTATATTTTAAGTGACATTCTAGCTAACAGATAATCAATAAAAATTTAAAAATCGTTAATAATATTATTATTATATTATAATTATGATGGTCATACTTTCTATAAGATGTGCTCGTACAAAAATGTCGTTTCTTTGTAGTTAACCTTGTTTAATTAAATAGAAATATTATTTAACTGATTTGCAATTATAGGACTTTTTAGAGCAGCTATAGGTCAAAGTGGTTCAGCTTTAAACACTTGGGCTTTCCAACGTCATCCTGTTGATGTAGCATATGGAGTAGCAGCTCTTATTGACCCTAATTTTTCGAGGAATAGATCGTCAGAAGAGCTATCAGCTTTTTTGTTGAATGCGGATGCCAAAGCTATACATAAAACGGGAACAAAATATGGTGTAAGTAAAATTAAAAAGTAGCAATGAATATTAGTGATTTAATAACTTTTTATGTTGTGAAATTCTTGTAATATAAGGAATTATCGATTATCTTTAAATTATTGTTTTAGCTGCAATCAAGTACTATGTTTTTAGGTGAGATCGTTCTAGCAAAATAATTATATTTATCTTACATGATTATTAAAAATATTCTCTAGGCTAGCGATACTTAAATGTATACATTTCAGAAATATTTGTTTATAAAAAGTTGGAGAACAAAAAATCTCGACCAAACTGTATTGCGAAAATAAACAAACTAATACTATATAACTAGTATTTATGTTTTTCTTGTTGTCACTAACGAAAAAATTCAGAAAAAATATTAAAAAAATGGTTTATAAAAGTCGACTGAATACTTTTAATTCCCGCTTAAAGCTATAAAATTGTGCCATAACAATATTAAACATTTTAACAAAACAGTAAAGAGAGGTATAATAATTGAAAGTCACTTAAAAAATCCTCATGTTTGTTTTTATAATTTGGTGTATCAATTATCATTACAGTCCTAGAGCCAACGTGCAGATTAATGACTTGTTTATTTATGGCTAAATGTGTTAAAGTGTGCTACGTAACGTGTCCAACGAAATCACGAAAGCGCCAGGTCCAGATCGGGGTGCTTATATAGCTATAGGCATTACAAGTGGTACGTGCCTCTCTAAAACATGACTTATTTTTTAACCATTTTCGTTATGTTCATTCGACGATAAGTGCAAACTTATAACAAATATTAAAGCCTTCACCAATTTCGCTGGAACATTTTGTTTTACAAAAGTCACCTCCTCCACCAATTTCCCTGGGCCATGTTTTCTATCCAACATTTTAAAGTTATGTGTAAGCCCTAACAAAGCTTTACACTAAATTAGGGTCCGATAAAAATATTGGATCCGCACGTAATCTCCATGTGTTGCCAGAAACAATATTTAGATGGTTTCTTACAGCAACAACATCATGTTGGAAATACATCCCTCGGATACCTTGTCCTCTTAAAGACCAATCAAAAAGTAGGGCCCTATCAATTGGTTATTTATCACCTAAAACCTAAACTGAGACCGAAACTCTCGAACATCATGGTGAATGTCTGCTGTCCACACATGTAAATTACTAGAATTATTTATCCTATCCCTTGTAGACTGTGCTTCGTCTGCAAAAATTGTCCAAACAGCACTGGTCAATGATTTACAATCCACCTACAAAATTCCAGGATATGGTTAAATATAATATGGGTATTAATGATTTTTTCGTAAGACTCCAGTCACTTTTGATTGGAATACATCAAGTTTTCGACTTACTTTCCTGGTGCTTAGTGTGACGCTCGCAATAACAGCATTAAGAATATTATCTTCCTGCACACATAATCTACATTTCGTTCCGTAATTACTATAGGGAATGTGCCTTGTTCTCATATATAATCAAAAACAGATACAAATGTTGAATGACAGGGAACTCGACGACCAGGAAATCTTCTATCATATTCTCTTGCGGCAGCTTTTCCATTTCGTACTGTGACTAGGCGCAGATTCTATCTAGTCATAGTATTTGTTGGCTGCAGTGTTGTTAGGATAACTTAAGAGCTCCCTGGCAACTCTCCAGTTTCTTGTATCATCCCATCTTTCCTTGAATTTCACAAGGGAATGTTCTTTAATTAGGTCTGTCACTACCAATTTTGTCAGGCCAATAGAAGGGCCAGCTCCAAAAAGTATTTGGTTGGCTGCTTTTTTGGCTAGTGAATCAGCAGGACGGTTACCTTTTAATGTGGCGTGACCTTCAACCCATCTTAAGGTGACCACATTGTTAATGGATACTTCGACCAAAGCTTCGTGACATTCTAGTACTAACCCTGAATAAATTTGTGGTCTATTCAGGTGAGTAGTGCTTGTCTGCTATCTGTATAGATAAGCATGTTCCTTTCAGAGATATTTTTTCTGGTTATTTCTTTTGCTGCTATGAAAATCCCCCTTAGCTATGTTTGAACTACACTGGCACTATTGCTCATAGCCCCTTTAATGTTTAGGTTTAAGAATCTAGAGTATATTCTACATCCTCAGCCTTGTTTTGTTTTAGAACCGTCGGTGTAGATATGATTTGTACCTGCCACTTCTGGCTCTTCTATTTGTTCTATTATAACTTTATATGGCTTATGAAAGATATACGAGGGTCATTTATTAAGTAATTTTTCAAAATTAAGGCTGTTTTTCAACATAATCACCCCCCACAGTTATGCACATTTTCCCATCTTTCTTGCAGCTTCCTAATTCCCTTGGCGATGAATTCTTTCGATTTACTCCAAAGCCACTTTTGCACTGTTTCCTTAACTTCCTCATTGTTAGCATATTTTTTTTCCACGGAGGGCGTCTTTAAGTGATCCAAACAGAGAAAAATCAGATGGGGCGAAGTCAGGACTGTAGGTAGGATGAGGTAAGACCTCCCAACCCAATTCTTGAAGCTTATCACGGTTCAGCTGGGCTGTATGAGGGCGGGCGTTATCGTGCTGAAGAATAACTCCTTTTGACAAGAGTCCACGATGTTTGCTCCTGATAGCTGCTCTAACTTTGTGTTCTAGCATCTAAGAGTAATATTGACTATTGATAGTTCGCTGACCTTCAAGGAAATCGCAATAGACTGGACCCTGTGAGTCCCAAAGATGGTCAGCATTACTTCACCTACACTTGTTTGGCCACTTTTAAATTGATCAACCTACTTGTAAAAATTCGCACGCATACAACTTTTCCCGTACTGTATCAACATTCTAGAAAAAAATTCACATGGTCTTACTCCTTCTGCGACTAAAAATCTAATGTAATGACTGAGCGCTGCTCTTCTAAGGTGCAATCTTCTAAATTATTTATTGTTTCGGCCTTTACTTGATGAAAATCCATTTAATTTTGAAAGAGTAAAACCAAATTTGGTAGATTTTCACACTTGAAAATCTACCAAATTTGGTTTTACTCTTTCAAAAGTGCAATCTTCTAGTGGACTTGCCATGGTGAATTGAAAATTTTAAGGTTATGTTGACATAAAATGATGAAACAGCTGATCAGAGCATATCCAAAGATTGCCGACTAACACCCCTGAAAATATTGTACACATTCATTGATTAAAATTGTAGGTTAGTCAGTAATGACTAGTAACAATACTCCAACCATGCAGAGGCGTGTCATTGTCGTCAGAGCAACCTCCTTGATGTAAATATCAAGGGAAGTGAGACTAAGAATGACTTCCATCGCTCTGGTCGGTGTTGTTTTCATGGCTCATGTTATGTTGAGACATGCTGTTCTTTGAATTTGTTCTAGTTTACGGATAGCTGTTAATTTTTGGACTTTCGGTACCCAGACAACTGCACCGTATGTTGGCATAGGTCTTATGATAGCCGTGGGGGACTCTGGGGGACAAATCCCAGTTGCGCTCCACGGTTCGGCATTGTTCATAAGCAATATATGCTCTTTTAACTCTGTTTTCTAAATTAATGTAAGTATATTTTTATTAAAAAAAAAAACGCATAATAAAATTAATATTTTAATATAACGTTGTCATACGTAAATAATACACTGTGGTCAAATTTAGCAATAATGAACGAGCACATTGAATATTACATAAAGATGTAAATTTAAAAATCTGTAAAACATAAAACAGCTTTGGTTTTAGCGGCCTTAAAAACCTTTGATTAATTATTTTTATCCATTTAGATAAATACTTTGTAAAGTTATTAAATTTAAACTACTAATATTTTTTAATGTTATATTTTCGTTGGACACGAATAAGGTCCCAATATTTTCAATGGACATTAATTCAGTAAATAGGTATCATTTTTATCTTGCTTTAGTACAAACGTCTACCTTTTTGAAAATAAGTCACGAGCATGCCCCCTAGTACTACTTTAAAACGTTGGAGAAAAAAATGGCCAAGTGAAATTGGTGGAGGGTTTAATATTTTTTGTAAGTCGGCACTTATCGTCGAATAAGCATAACGAAAATGTTAAGAAAATAAGTCAAGTTTTTGAAAGGCACGTACCTAAGCGCCCTGGTCTGTACCTCGCGCTTTCGTGATTTCCTTGGACATGTATCATAGAACACTTTACCAACAAATTCATCCATAACAGAATGAGTCACAAATCTTCACGTTGGCTTTAGAAATATTACGTAGATATATAATAAATAATTTTTACAGACATTTGCTCCCGTGATAGAAGTGGAACATGAAGGTGCTTTTATAACTGAATCAATGTATGAAGCAGCTGAAAAGGGAAAAATTAACAGAGTGCCTTACCTAGGAGGCATTGCTTCTGAAGAGGGAATTATACAAGCTACAAGTAAGATATGTTTTCTACCATTTATTTAAAAAACATTTTTATAAAAAAATTATTGTTTTTTCATTAATTTTATTCTACTTGCATTTTATATATAGCAACACTGTTGTTTTTGTGTTTAAATAAAGATCAATGTAAACATTCGCAATTATTTTAACATGGTAAAATAACGTGGTCAATAGTAATCAAAAAGAAAATATATTAATAACAAAAAGATACCTACATACAGGATAAATAAATTAAAAAAATTAAATGACCAAAAAGAAGGATAATGATTTGTTACCTATATCGCAAAAAGACTGTAAATTCAGATTACTATTAGTATTGGAAAGTAGAAATGTTAGAATACTGGATTTATTGGTAAATTCCTATTGTGACTCTGTTATCACGAGTAAGATATTGAACTTATATGTAACATATTCAAAAATACTTTTAATAAATATCTGATACAGTCATTAAAAGAAAAATGGATGTTTATAAAATCTTTTGGAATACTAACACATACTTATAACTAGCTCCAAAATTAAAAAAAATTGTAGTGAAAATATAAAAGCAATGGCTATACAAGATCGACATTTTTCAAATGAATTTGAAATAGATCATATCTTAGCTAGAACTAATTATGAATATAGCATAATAAATAATTAATAATATAGGTCCAAAAATAATATACCTAATATAAGTGTATTTGAGGTAAACTTAAGTACTCAAGGTTAATTTAGATATTGTATACTTTGACATAATAAAAACCTTTAAAACAGTGCATAATAAACAAACATTTCGGCATTAGGAATATTACATGTATTATATGTAATTTTGATTTTTGATTGTCTCTCGAACATAATTCCTTCTGTTGCAGATTTACGAGCATGGGAGAAAACTGTTAAGACTTACGACAAGGATAGTCGGAATCTGGTAGATGAAGATATGTATATTGACGATAATGATAAAGAACTAGAAGTTGCAAATAAAATTAAACTAATTTACACAAACAGAACATTTATAGAAGATATTGGTTCATCTATACAGGTAAAGGCACCACGACAAAACAGCACAGGACAAAAGCGCAGAACAAAATAGCACTAACAAAATAGCGCAAGGACAAAAAAGTGGAAACACAAAATAGAGTAAGGATATAATAGGAAGGGACAGAAAAGTGCGTGACTAAATATTCCAGTATTCAAATCGAATTTAAAAAAGTACTTAACTAATTTACCTAACCTGGACGACCTGGAGTCATTGTATGTCTATTCGAAAAAAAATTATACATAAAATAAAAAAAAATTAAAAAAACAACCTGCGATGGCTTTAGGCTCTATAGGTTACGTGCACTGATTAAGTTTTTTTTTTAATTTTTATTTGAATATTGGAATATTTTGTCACGCGCTAATTTGTCTGGCGCTTTTTGACTTAGCCTGACTTGACACACTATAATTTAACTAGCCGTTAGTTTGTCTCACTTTATTTAAATCAAGCGCTAACTTTTCTTTCATGTCTCGGCACAAATTTTGTCGCAGCAAAGGTGTCCCGTGCTGAATTGTCTCGCGCTCTAATTAGGCATTCCAAACTGAATGGCTACCAGTGGGTTTTGACGGGTTATGATATACAAAATTATGGCAACCCTGTAGGCCTGGTGATTTGACAAAGTCAATGAAATAGATAGTTACATAGACTGATCATCCATATTTTTCAAAATAAATATAAGCTTATGCTTTGAAGTAAAAATGTAAGCAATTATTTTTTTTAAATATCTAAAGGCTAAAACTTGATTTTAAAACACATTTTTGCTAAACCGATTCAAATTAATAATTTGCCAGGCAATATGGCCGCTCGTAAACGACCAGCTTTGAGCAATCTATATAACTATATATGTATCATTGACCCTGTTAATGAAAACATGACAATAGGGTTGCCATATCTAAACTGTCAGGTCGTTGGAATGCCTAATAGATTGGATCCTAAAACATTTTAAAACATTTACTGTACAGGCGTCGTCGAAGCAATATCTGTTACGTAGGGTTGTCATTTATTAATTTTTGAAATCCAGGACAAATCACTAAAAACTTGGAAACAAATAAAAACACAGGGTAACAAAAAAGGACACATAATCATATAACGTTTTATTAATTTTAAACAAAATTTAAAATATATTACTGGCTAAAAAAATTAAATAAACATTTCAAAAATCTTATCTTACCTCTTACCTTACCTAACCTATTTACGTATAGGTACCCATTATAGATGAGGTACAAACTAAACATTAAACGCTACTCTATCGTATTATAATGTCATTAATGAAAAAAATATAAAACACTTTGGTTTGGTATAATGGTATAATAGTACAATATAGTTATGCTTGCTTATTGCGCAAAAATTTTTTTCTGACCTTGAGGATAATGGTATCTTGTGCTTACACGCCTAGTTCGCGAAGAAATAAAAAATTATAGGAAATAACCATATCATTAGTTGATGAAGAGAGTTGTACTAAAAAAAAATATGATTATCTAAACATTATTTATAAATTTCCTAGAAGAAATCGAAAAAACTCTCGAAATGGATACCGTTTTTATATAGAGATTATTGGTAACTGACCAAATATTGTGTTTAAGACATTTCGAGGAAGCACATTTTTATCTATCTTCATTGTGTAGTCTATTTGAATATTAAATGTATCAATAATTTACACGTGTATAAATTTAAATTAACATATATTTTCTAATTTATAATTTTAAATAAGGACGGTTTCATTCCATCATATCAATTATGCAAAATACCTCTGACTGACAAGTGAGTATCACGAGATCTCCAAAACTATAAGCCCGATTGACTTTCTCGACGTAGACTTACTAAGAACAGATTTTATGCAACGACAAATCCAAGCGCTGAACAGCCCTTTGAATAATAAAATATTTAATTTGTCAAAGAAGGGAATGAGTTTTGTCTATAAAATTAATTTTACATGTTTCTAATAGTAGTATAAAACCACCCAAAAAATAAATTTTTCTATAGACAACCAAAAGGAATAAACCGCCTTTGTAATGTTAAAATAATTATTTTATCGAAATGAATAACTAATTACTTTAAAATTCATTTTACACGTTTTTTATAGTAGTATATACCTACTATAAAAATATAAATTGCTATGACAATCGTAAGGGGTAAATTATTAAAATAATTATTTTATCAAAGAATTAAAAGAGTTATAACTTTAAATAATTTAAATAACTTTAAATGTTCTACACATTAGTATAAAGTGTCGTCCATCGAAAGTTTTGCGTATGTTCAAGTGAAAACTACAGGGAATTTGCATTAGTGCGAGCCAGGCCAATAGTCCAACGCAGTCGGGCCGTAAAAAACTGACACTGCTAATATTATTCATTTCCTTCTCGCCCTAATACTGAATCCGTACTTTTCACTTCGACATTGACCAGTACTGTATACTGTATAAAAAATTTATCATTTCTTTTACATTGGATAAAGATAGAGACGAAAACAGTTATTTTAGCAATTTTTTTAATGATGGAAAATTTGAAACAAAGCATCTACTAGCCCATGTTGATAGGAACTGTTTATTTAATTTTTGGGGAAAAAATCATCCAACCAGCGATGTCAGAAGTTTTTTTGAAACACACTGTACACTGATTTAAGAATAGTTTTATTATAATATGTAGCATTTTTTACGCCTTATGACTTATACAATACATTTTTGTAAATGTCTTAAGGAACACTTTTTAAATTTTAGTAATTTTATTTTCATTTAACGAAGTACTTATTAAAATAATAAATATTTTCTTAATCAGGCATATTTTATCTATTTTATTCATTCCGTTTTCGAAAAATAGTTTAGTTGTTAGCTCTAATTATAAACTGCTTATATATTGATTTGAAAACCTTCTTATACTATCTCCGGTTCCAATCAACAAAAATATCAATATTGATGTAGATTCAACAGTTCTAAGATATTTTATAAAAAAAAAAGAAAAAAAAAGGTTCTTTGTTTTCTTCTTATTTTAAAGAATTGCATAAAGATTACTAAAAGACGGACCACTATCACTATTTGCATGGTTATACAGATGCAAATTGGGCAAATTGTCCAGTTGATCGACGTTCTTATACCGGGTTCTATTTTTCTTTGGCCGGCAGACCAATTTTTTGGAAGTGTAAGATGGAGAGGCTACTGAGGCAGAGTATATGGCCCTAACTGTGGAATTTGGTCCTCGACACCCTCATCAGCCGCCTCAATAATGACAGTCACTACACAATAACATATGCAGTTGACCTGGTCATTCTGCAAACTGTGAATTTTGAGAACATACTCTTCGAATGCAAGTAGCTCTAAAAATTATAGAACAGTGGTGCAAGGACCATTCAGCGTCTATCAATCCTAAGAAGACAGAAATGGTCCTTTTCACAAGGAAAAGGATGAAAATGGAATTAAAACCTCCAGAACTCCTAAACACAAAACTAAACTTTGCAACACATGTGAAGTACCTAGGTCTTACATTTGACAGCAAGTTAACATGGAACTCGCATTTAGAAAACAGAGTTAACAGAGCAAACATTGCTTATGAACCATGGTGCACACCTGAGGTTTCACCCCCAGAGTCGTCGTATGGACTTACACGGCTATCATAAGACCTATGCTAACATACGGTGCAGTTGTCTGGGTACCGAAAACACAAAAATTTAACAGCTATCCGCAAACTAGAACAAATTCCAAGAACAGCATGTCTCAACATAACAGGAACCATGAAAACAACACCGACCAGAGCCATGGAAGTCATTCTTAGTCCCGCTCCCCTTGATATTTACATCAAGGAGGTTGCTCTGATGACAATGACACGCCTCCGCATGATTGGAATAGAACCTGATTTAGGATCTGGTGAGGCGAGACGTCGCTTTTGGTAGAAGGCGCTCGATACGCTCTCACTGTTTCAAGCGAACATGGACTCCATCTCACCAAGTTATATTTTCCATAAGCCATATAAAGTTATAATAGAACAAATAGAAGAGCCGGAAGTAGCAGGTACGACTCATATCTACACCGACGGTTCTAAAACAAAACAAGACTCAGGATGTGGAATACACTCCAGATTCTTAAACCTAAACATAAAATAAGCTGTGAGCAATAGTGACAGTGCAGTTCAAACATAATAAACAAAACATAGCAGTAAAAGAAATAACCAGAAACAATATCACTGGAAGGAACATGCTCATCTATACAGATAGCAGACAAGCACTACTCACCCTAAACATACCACGAATTTACTCTGATAACTGATATATTTCATAAAATGTAAAAACGACTTCTCATAAAGTACCCCTCAGATGTTCCGTCTCGGCCCAAAATCTAATCAGTGGACCTCAGGTCGGCATAAAGCCTAAGTTTTATCCGTTTTTGAGTTTTTTTCAAAATTCTAAATTTTCATATTTTCTCAAATATCTCGAATACGGTCCATTTTAGAGAAATTATGTAAAAAACAAGGATTATAATGAATTATATCCTAAACAACTTTAATTTTAACAATTTTAATAAAAAAATTATTTTTTACATTTTGTCAAATTTCTCGAATACGGACCATTTTAGAAACATTCTGTATAAAACAAAATGTATAGAAAATAATATAAAAAGTAACTTTTGTTTAAAGAATTTTCTTCTCCAAACGTAAATAACAGATATATTTCATAAAATATATAAATGACTTCCTACAAAGTACCCCTCAGCTGTTCCGACTCTGCCCAAAACTCACTCGGTTCACCGCAGGCTAGAATAGAGCTTAAGTTTTATATCGACGGTTGAAAGGAGAAATGGCTAATACGCCACTTTGGCCAAAATTGAGTTATTTATACCACCGGAATCAGCTGATTTTTCTGCTTCGATCTATACAGGGTGTTAAAAAAAAAGTGTCACAAAATAAAACGGGGGGTAGTATGGGCCAAAATATGCAGAAAAGTCTTAATAAACATATGTCCGCAAATGAATGGTTTCAGAGATACGGAGTGTTTTGTGTTTTGTATCATTTTTTGAT